ATGAGAGTATTGTCCTTGTTTTTCACACGAGTAGGTGAGATCCACTTTTCCCATGTATAGGGTTCACGTGAATAGGCGAGATCCACTTATCACATTTTTTTGATATTAAGTGTAAGAGTATTGTCCTTCTTTCCAACTACCGATGTTTTTCATTTTCATTCTCTCCCTCCCGGTGTGAGGTATATAGATTTATAGATAAAACGAGGGATTCAATAGAAATATAAAATATAAAATATATTTTGTCTTTCTCCCTTGTTTATAATGATTTGACCAATTAGAATTAACATAATTTGAGCAGCCGTCCCGTGAATCACTTCACAATAGCGGACGTACTTTATAACAAATATTACTTTATTTATTTAATTATTGTACCATAATCCAATAAGATTCTATCGCTTTAATTCTTTTCCAATAATCACCACTAATTAAAAGATGAAATTTGACCGCGGTTGCTCCTCCAACTCGAAGCCAGCTCCTTTCGGTGGCTCAGAGAGAGAGAGAGAGAGAGTCAACAACCATTAGTCAATAAACTAAATAAAGACTCAATCCACATGTGTGTTACTAAATTTTTAAAAAAATTAAAAATCAGAAAAGAAAATTTTTGAGCTTAAAAAATTAAAAGAAAATACTAAAGTAATAGTAAATCTATAAAAAAAAAGAATTGTAAACGCTAATAAAAGCTAAATTTTTTAAACTAAAATGAATGCTTATTTGTCAATAAAATTTTAAAAGAGATTCAATTTTTTTATATAATGGAGAATTAAAAAAAGTTAAGAATCGAATTACTGATTTTAAATAAATTTTGTAAATATTATATTACTTGGATTAAGATTTACGCTTACGAAGAGCTACAATTAAATGAGTTAGTTTTTTTTATGGCTTAAGAAATCATTAATGAAATTATTTATTTATTTTAAACAAATTACTAATTAGTGTTACCCAAGTGGCTGTGGGCATGAACAGGGCAATTTGACGATTTCGCCCGATTGAGTTCTCCAATTAAAAAGGAAAAAAAGGGTCTACATATTACCACCCGTGGCCGTGATGCTCCAAGCAGAGCTGCAAATCCCATTCTTGTTCCATTGGAAATCTTCTCTCTCTATCTCTGTTTTTGGGGTATCGTGCAGATTCTACACAGAAATGGTTTCGAGCGAAAAAGAGGTAGTTCCCAAACCAATTCCCATGAAGAATCCTAAAAAACAAGTAGCACTCGAAGTCCTGCCCTACTTGAGAGTATACAAAGACGGAACCCTGGAGAGAATTGCTGAATCGGAGTCATCTCGGCAGGCTTCGACCAGGAAACTGGCGTCGAGTCCAAAGACATAGTAATCATACCCGAGACAGGCGTTTTCGCTCGGATCTACCGACCCAAGCCCAAACCGCAATCCGACAACCACAAACTCCCCGTCGTCGTCTATTTCCACGGTGGCGCTTTCTGCATCTCCTCCGTCGCCGATCCCGTCTACCACAACTCTATCAACACCCTCGTCGCTGCCGCCAACGTCGTCCTCGTCTCCGTCAACTACCGCCTGGTGCCGGAGCACCCACTTCCCGCGGCCTACGATGACTGCTGGGCCGCCCTGAAATGGATTGCCGGAGCAGACGAGGACTGGCTCAGCAACGTCGACTTCGGAAAGGTTTTTTGGCCGGGACAGTTGCGGAGCCAATATCGGGCACCACCTGGCGATCCGGGCAAGCACGTGCCCGACTTCAATCGGATTGAAGTTTGCTGGGATCATAATGATCAATCCGTACTTCTGGGGCGAGAAGCCGATCGGGTCGGAGGTGACGGATCCAGTGAGGAAAGCCATGGTGGACTGCTGGTGGCTCTACGTGTGCCCTTCGGATAAAGGGGTGGATGATCCTCTGATCAACCCGTTTGTGGAGGGTCCCCAGGTCTGTCCGGTCTGGCCTGTGACCGGGTGATAGTGACTGTTTCAGAGAAGGATATACTGCGGGACAGAGGAGGCTTTATTATGAGAATCTGGTGAAGAGTAATTGGCCGGGAAAAGCAGAGTTTTTGGAGGTGAAAGATGAAGATCATGTCTTTCATATATTCAATCCTCGTTGTGAGAAGGCACTGAAGTTGATGGACGATTTGGCTTCTTTCATCAACAAAGACTAAATTAAGAGTACTTGTTTAAAGTTGTAATCTTGGACGTTACTTGCATGTCGTTCATTCCATAAGCGTACCTTAATATTTGATGAAACCTTTGTTAATCCTTTTTGTAATGTTAAAAGGTTGCTTTCATGTTGTTCGTTCAGGCAGTGTATGTTAATAATTGATGAAGCCTTTTTAATTCCTTTCCTTGCATCTCAGTAAGTGTTTATTGATGGCTGTTTGTGGTTTGATGACGTCTTTTAAACGTTTGACCGAATCAGTCCGACACGGGCGGACGAAGAAATTTGCAGTTAGAAGTCTGAAAGCTATGCTTTTAGGCTTCCCCCTCCCCCATTATGATGCTCAGGTAGCAGCAACCGGTGCTCTTTCTGAATGCAATTAAAGTTTGGTGAGAGCTCGGAGCAACTTGCTGAGAGCTTGACGCTTCACATTGAATCCTCATAATTGACCTCAGTAAATGTGGCTTTACCGATTGGATTCCTTCCTCTTATTTGGTCTTGATTGTCATTTGCTTGATTGGTGTAGTTGTCCCGTGTGATTATTTTTTCTCCCAAAAAATTTGTACGTGTCCAGACATGCAATGCTTCTTTTATAATTTAATACTTTATTATATTCTTGTTAAAGTTGGCCCACACAATTCTTTGTTTAACTTTCTTTCAAACGCACTTAATCACGATTAGATTAATCCATCAAAACCTACTCTAATACTATTTGTTATGAGTTCAAGTATACATATATTGAAGTATTCTATTTTTCTAAGTCTCACTGCTCTCGTTCGTGTTATTTCATGTGAGATTTTGATTATGATGAATACAGCAAAAAAATATATCTTGAATTCATGATTTTAGTTTTTTAAACAATGTTATATTAACATACTAATATATTATTTTTTATGATATTTTATTTTTATTTTAACTAACTTTCATTTGATTTTTCTGTTAATTTAATGAAAATCAAATGATGAAACGAATTGGAGTAAGAGTTTTGTTTAATAACAGTGTACACGTGACTCATTTGTACAATATACTTCAGAATTATTATTTTTTACACTTTATACTCTAATATTTTATTATTTTTTATATTATTAGGATGCAAAGTACAACAAATTATAATTTTAAAGTGTGTATATGGTATGTTAATAAATTATGAACAAACAAAGAGTTCCACGCAACTACGACAATTCTGCTCCAATCTCAATATGCCTCGGGGGAGGAAGGGGAAGACATGAACCCAATTGAACCTACCACCGGCCCCCTTGCTAGTCCTTTGTGGGTTGGGGTGGGGTGGCGCTTTTTGGGCGTCTTATTTGGATTGACATTTATTTCTTTTGGTTAGTTGCTTTTCTTCGTAATATGAATGTTCGTCTAATCCACTGACTTTTATAAGATTATTTGTTCGTTCAAAATTTTGAAAAAATTTCACAACTTTTGGAATTCAATGGACCAAAGCATGGACAAAGTTACAATATTTTATTATGACAAATACAACCAACAATATTGTCATGACAATAATACTCCAGCTCCTGTACAAGACTTGCATATTTTCAAGCCACTTGGAAATTATGCACGCTCTTACTAGCCAGTCACTGCCTAAAATGAGATTATCAAGTGTTTGAAATCGTGCGTTTTATACACAAGTCTCTCCTATCTTTCAACTTTTTCACATTGTTAATTAAAGTTGATCATATCTCCAATTTCAATATATACAGATATAAAAAAGAATCAATTAACACCAGATATAAATATAAAAAACTTACACCACATTTTTATCATTAATTTCGTCAAAATTAATAACGTAGATTAATTACAACTGTCTTCTACTAATTTTCAATAATTAATTTATACTTAAATCAGCTGTAATTAATTTATGCAGTTAATTTTAACCAAATCAACGGTGTAAGATGTAGCGTAAGTCTTTATACTTACACCTAGTGTCAATTATCCCTTCTCTCTCTCTCTCTCTATATATATATAATATAAACTGTTAAAGATCTATAATTGGATTAAGATTTTGTAGTCCCATGTAACGGTTATGCAGAACATTTCATTCAGAACAGAAATATGGGTACGAACAAAGAGAGGCTTTTGACTGACTGAAGGACAAACCTGCAATTTAACCAACCATTTTTTCACCATCCATTTCATCAGAAATAGTTGCTTAATATATTTATCACTGGGTTTTCAACTCGAATGAGGATGTTAGAGCATCTCAACGAGACAAAATTATAACATCACATCAGTCCATCTTAAAAAGAAAATTCTGAACAACAAAACTGCATTATATCGCAATATACAATCTGCCGAACTTGGTTAAAATGCGGCTTAATTAAAACCATTAAAAAATTGAACAGAAAAACAAGCCAGAACTGAGACAATTGAGCAAATAGAAAACTGTTGCATGATTATATTACTTTCCCAACTACAGTTTCTCCTCTTTTCATTCTCCTCCAAAAATGACGAAGCATTTCTAGCAGTTCAAAGAGTTCGTTCATACTCAGATAGATTGTTTTCAAATGTAAATAGCAATAAAGTTACACGATTTGGTGGATAATCAAATATTCTATATCTAGCCTAAAACACAACAGTGTCGAGCATGGTGCCCAAAGTCTGAATTATATTTGAAGACTTAAGGTTGGAAACATGTTCTTCAAGATGTTTCTTTGCATCCTGCCTGCCCACATTTGCAATTGCTAGTTTCTCAGGTGGCAACTCATCCTCTTCTTGCACAGCCTTGTTGTATTTTATTGCCAGATTTAGCATCTCCTGCACAATCCCATCAAAATACAATTAGTCATTTTTTACCGTAAGGGTTGTCTAGTTAATAGCTTATATCTAAAACTCAACTATTATAACCTGTTTTCTGTATCAGCACTAAAATAATCGCTCTTTGTTGCTTTCTTTAGAAAAATTATATAATCAGTTTTCTTTCCAAAAAATTTCTACACCTGCATGGCACTACCTGTCTACTAAATTCCTAAAAGTCTTTGTACCAAACATTTGCATGCCAATCAATGAGAAGGATCCATGATTTCACATCTTTCCCCATTTTTATTTTAGTGCAACAGCTTGAAACTGTTGGCTATCCTAATAAAACATCAATAATGGGCTTCAAGTTCAACAGTTCCTAAAGAAGCACAAAGCTATGTCATTTTCTGTATGCAGTAATCATTCTATCTCTTGATCTCAGAAGGGGGGGGGGGGGGGGGGGGGGAAAAGAAGATTATGTCACCCACAGTTGAGGTACCTATATAGGCCATTCATTGGTGGTTACTGATCTTGCTTATCAGGAAATGACCCAACTTGAACAGAATAACTAGAGTTCTGAGAAGGCTAATATTACTAGAAAGCAAAGGAAAATGTTTAGTAGTAAAAGATAGACTGACATATTCAGGGAGTAGCAATGACAAGGAAAGACAAAATTAGTTTATTTAGTTGAGACAATAAGAAGACTGGATTCACTGAGCTTTAACTGAAGCTACAGTTTCACATAGAGAGGAATGAAAGATGTAAGAACCATGTAGCTAACCTCATGTTCATATTATATAATATTCACAGTTGGATAATCAATTTCATATTACTTAATGGAAAAGCTCATAAGTCAGCTTCCAAAATAATTCACTTTTCCATAATCTTCGTGAAGTTATGTGGGGTATTCAAGATCATATCCTCTGCACTAATATTGGATGGCATCATTAGACTCTGCACCACACATCACAAGTACCAAATGTAAAAACACTAAATCTCCTACTTGCACAGATACCAGCCACAAAATGAACTCCACAAATTTGAAGAACTCTTCAATTTTGTCAAGGGTTCACTAACCTGAACAGTCTGTTCATTGGTTTTGGAATGGGCATCAAAACGTTGAAGGGTCAATCCATCAGTCCACTTCTTCTTATGAAGGTTCAATAGCATTTTTTCCTCAAGCTCATTCTTCCTGTAATTTAATGGCTATTGAATAATAATGCCTGTTCAACCATGGATCAATGCCTGCAAAACAGTTTACCAAATGGCTGATAAAGACTAAACGGCAAACACAACTTCTGGGGACAAGGCAGAATTCATTCAGCACTTACTTGAATGGATGGCTTATTCACTTACTTGAATGGATGGCTTATTCAGATGTCCAAGGTTGGATGTTGTTTGCCTAGGCTCCTGTCCAAGCATCATAGTCTGTGGGTTAATCAAACGGAAGGCATCAATGACCACCTTCCCCTTGACACTCTGTATGGGATCCACTACAACTGCCACTGCTCTTTGATTCAAGGCTTCAAAACTCTGCATGATATAACAGATCTCAGTAAATCATGGTAGGATATAAATGAATTTACTTGGTTATAGCTAGAAGGGAGGAAGGCAAAACAAATTCCAAAAATGTGGTCAAATTGATGCTTCAAAAACTTAGAATTTGCATGAAATAATTCAATCAAGTCATAAGTTTTCCACTTCAAAAAAATTATTCTTCAACTGGACACAGTTCCCAGGTTAAAAATCATAAAAAAAAAAATTCAGTTGATCAACATAACTACAACTCACAGTAATGTACACTCCCATATCTTAGATTTCCAAGTCAAACAGACAAGATAAACAAGTGGTAAATTAATAACTTGTACACAGAACCTAGTCCTAGAAGTTGCAGAAGCACACAATGCCTGTATCCTACTCCCCAAATTCATGTTCAGTTATCAGGAGGGTTCGGAATCTTTGTGCCTCTGGATGCCGTTGACCATCATCATATATCTTTATAGACCTTGCTACATGGTTTTTTGACATGATTTTCACTCCTAACCACATTCTAACTGGTACCTTCTACATTTAGTAAAACTATGGGTATGCAAGCTATCTAAAATCCTAAAATCCTTACAATTAGCTACAAACAATTATTCATTGCTCCATCTTCAGAGAATGCAGTCCAAATGCTATTTTCTCTGAAAGAAGCAAAAATATGGGTCCAGAATCAGATGCTCCACCCCATGAAATACCAGATAGTATAGTTGAAGAATAAAAACAAGAATGTGTGACAAGAGGTGAGGAAAGTACTCACAAAAAGAAGCTCTCACAGGATATGATAAAAGAAAAAAAAAAGGTCTAGTATTTTCTAATAATAAGAAGATCAGAAGTACACCCATGAAGAATAGTAGAACAACACTCAACCATGTAAATTTCATCATATAAGATAAATATAGATCACCAAAAAGGACTATAAAATGCCACCAGATGAACATAAATGAAGACAGATAGAACCAACCTGTTGAGTATTAATGTCCACTCCAGACAGCCAACAGCCAAATCCAGGATGTGAATGGTACCATCCAACCACCATTTCCGGTCTGCAATACCAACCAAAAAGACAATCCAGCTTAACAATATTATGAAATTAATAAAAGTAAGAGGTAGGCAATCTTCATAGTAAATCAATTTGTGCGGAAGGGAATTTGCCCATGCAAATGTATGGCTAAAGGGCAAAATCCTCAGCCTGATGAGACCCATAGCAGATGGCTATAACGCATGCTTCTCTCTGGTTTTAGTTCATATTTATGAATTTCAACAATTTTCTTATTGTATAAAATTTTGCTGATACGCAACCCTGTGAGAGAACACACCCAAACAGCAGCAAAATTGAATCCCCTGAACAACTGAATACGGAAACATATCCAAGGATCTTAATAAGGGCAAGTTCTTCTACAATCAGATTAGTAAACATTCTATTACTATAAATTAGCTCCATAAAAAGCACTTTGACCATTTCCCGGATTAGTTCCGGTTAGTCCTCCGTTGTTTTTGCTCTGTTTCTTCGCTTTCCTTTAGGCCGTTAATCCCTCTTCAAGCATCACAGCACACACACCCCCCCTCCAAAAAAAAAAAAGAAAATAAACCGTGATTTACCTTCCTGTTTGTTTGAGCATATCAAGCATATTAGTCTGGAAAACATGATCGACGGCTTCAACACTTACGCCGGTACCACTCTGAGGCATAGCAAAGACATCAACGACGCGGACAGTGTACTCATCCACAAATTCACCCAACATCAGTCCCATCACCTCCATAGGAACTCCGGCTCTACCTGTTACCAATTCCCAAATGCAAACAGAAAACAGAAACCCTATTTAGATCCCAGTTTCATATAAGCCTCACTAAAATGCATAAAGGAGCATTGAATCGGAAATATGCATACATCTATCACCTATGCCTACAATAAAACCCTACAAATTGAAACATCGAGACTGTATAACGTCTATACCGTGCTTGAGCATTTTAAGTAGGGCAAGCGAAGAGATGTAAACTTGCTCCGACGAATCAAGCGTCGGCGAGTCCGGTGGCGGGTGCCCCAACGCCCTCCGGCACCGGCGAACATTCTCTGTAATCTTTCCATCTCTGACAACCTCTTTCAGATCAGTATTCAGTTTCTTTGTGAGCAAGAAGGCCTTAAAACGCCGACAGAAATAACCAAGCGGAGATCAACGAAGACCCTTTCTTCTTGTCCAGAAAAAAACTAGAAAACATTGAAAGTTATAAAGTCGTTTTTGCCCCTGCGTTTTGTGATGTATCCACTACTGCACCGACCTGCCACTGGCACCACCGGCCGATGTCCCAATATTGGGCCTCCGAGCCCAGTTTATAAAATAGACTTAGAGTCCAGCTTCTAGAAGCCTTCGAAGTTGGGCTTTTCACCGGTAACCAAAATGCCATTATTTAGTGTAACCAAAAAAAAAAAAAAAATGCCATTATTTAGGGTGTTGAAAGTTGATCTAAATCAATTGGATTAATTTAATTTAAATTAAATTGGTCAAAAATTAATTAAAATAAAAAAATTTAATTTAATTTTTAGAATATAAAAATTGATTGATTTGATTTGGTTCGATTATTAGTTTTTCTAAAATAATAATTGAATTAAACCAAATTGATTATATATATATATATTTATTTAATAATATAAATAGTTAAAAGCAAAACCTAAATCTATCTAAATCTTCATTTTCAAATACTATCTCAAGGAATTTTTATTTATATTTAGAATATTTGATTTACAAAATCCTTGTTATTATTAAAAACTAGAATAATTTTTTGTATTTTCAATGAACTTTTTCCTTTATTTAATGAATAAATTTTAATTAATTTTAAGCTTTAAAAAATATATAAAACTGAGCATGTCAAAATGAATTACATTGATTTGCGGTATACTAAAAACAATTATACCCAAAATTATTAAAAATCAATAGGTTCAGTTCGATACAAATAATGCTCAAATTGAATCAAAATAAACATGTAAACACCCTTGTCTCATTTAGGAGGGTGTTTGGAACAACTCATGGGAATTACTTCTAAGCTTCTCAATGATCAAAAAGTAATTTTTGATATTTGTAAAATTGCTTTTAACTTTTGCTTCACCTAAATAAATTACAAATAGTTAAAAAACTTGAAACAGGGAATGAAGGTTTTTTATAGTTTCTAGTGGTATTTTTGTAATTAAATCAAAACTATTTCAAATTTGTTTTAACTCTTTTATTTTTAAGTTTTTTCATTATTTTTCAGTATTACTACTGAAGACAAATTACCTCCCATTCTGACAAGACTTGACAACTTCAATAATCAAAAAAGGTTTGCTCATGGAGATTTTCGCGTTGGCAGTGATTTAGCTTGATGGTGGACAGGTAGTGGGTCATGGACAGCGAGGGAGGGGATTGCTACATACGGCGACAGAGAGCTTTGTTGTCACATGCAATGATCAAGGGGGTAATGGAAAGAAAGGGAAAGTAAGAGAGAGATGAGACAAAAAAGAAAAATTATAAATGATGGTAAAAAAATAGAACAAAAAAATATATATAAGGGGAAACTAGTATTTTTTATTTCAAAAATTTTTTAATAATCATTTCAAAAAATTATTTTTTAAATACTATTTTATTAATTTCGAAATTTTTTTTACACATTTTACAAAACACTCTTATTTTTTTATTAAAGTATGAGTCTACCAATTTCTGCCTAAAACACCTACTTCTAATTTTTTCCGAGCATTTGCAAATACCCCCTTGATAGTATTGGATTGTGGGTTTAAGGCAGTACAAAAAGGACATTATAGTTATATTTACATTTTTAATGGCAGGGAGATGTTAACTATGTTCAAAAAGATATGAACACTAGTAGGAACACTCTTTCTAAATTTAACTCACTTTCTAATCTAGGTAGAGAAAAGTTGGCGTTTTCTTCTCAATACTTTGACAGATTTTTTTGAGAATTAATACATCAAGAGTATCCGCTCTTAAATAATTGTGTTATTTTTTCTTTTTTAGATTTTGGCCCTTTTTGTTGCCCAAAAATAATTATATCTATATTTTTTTTCTTCAAAATAAAGGAGAAATTAAAACTCTATTAGATTAAGTCATTATCCTTGGTACATCTGATTTACTCGTGCCAATAAAATAAGGATAAACTCGTAGATGTCAAAATAATTTCCTTTTCTCTGGTCTCCATCCCCGGTCTCAATTCACTTTCATGCCCCACGTTGATGGCGTAATTCAATTGCGTGACAATGTAGTATACTTCTTAGTAACTTTAATTTTATTTTTTATTAATTCAATTTTACATAATCTCACGTTTTTTTTTTGGTTTTTTGACAGCAAAACCAAACTCCCATAAGCAAAATCTATTAATAATTGATTGTGATGTGTGTGGACTGGGATGGGCTTCGGGTTTGTGGTGGGTTTATTTTCTTTGGGCTTGTGGTCGGTGTAAAATTCTGGATATTTATACAGAACATCAAACGAGTCAATTATAAAATTAAAATAATAAATATAATCTAAAGCCGTATATTTACAATAAATTTAAAAATTTTCTTGTTTTGTTAATTGAAGAACTTAAAAAATTAATTAAAAATTTTTTAACAACGAGAGATGGTGCAGGAAAACATTTGGGATGGCTATTGAAACAAAATTTGTCAATATCAATTCAGCAGGCTTTTCACATTACATGGAGTTGAAGAGGTTCTTCTTTTTCAACTCTTTGCGGGGAAACAATTGGGATGGCTACTAAAACAAAATTTGTCAATCTCAATTCAGTAGGCTTTTCACGTTCCATGGAGTTGAAGAGGTTTTTCTTCTTCAACTTTTTGCCGGACTAGATTTTTAAGAATTTCTCTTTCAAAACTTTTATTTTTTTGAAATTTAGTAGATTTTTCTCTTCCTTTTTTAATGAAAAAAATCTCGTATTTATAAGTGAATAATTCTTGAAATGATGAGATTTTTTTTAAGAGAAATAGACCTCCAAAAACATTATGTTTTTTCTTTCTTTGATTTTTAAAAATAAAATCAAAATAAATTTAACCTAAATCAAATTCTAAATAAATTTAAATGTTATCTAAATTAAATAAAAAAAACAAATCAAACAAAAAAAATGCTCCCAAATCAGGTTGCGAAGTCTGTCTGGTGATCTGATCGTCTCATTTTCGCCTTAGGCTGCTGGTAGGTTTTTTGTAGATGGGGTCTATATTTGACTTTGCAGTGCTAGCTCGCCTAAAATGTGGTAAGAGGGGTTGCTCAGTTAAGAAAATGGTAGGGGTTGTGCCTAAGGCGGGGATGGATTTAGAATTAAATTAATGGGAGCAAAATTAAAACAAGTTAAAATATAAAGGAATTATTTGTTTTTTTAAATTACATAAAAAAATTTTAAAAATTTTTAATGGTGAGAAGTGTCCCATATTTCTGTATAAATCCATCTCTTATGTAAATATTTTGCATAAAAAATTGAATAAGATGCGTGCATATAATTCTCAAAGAAAGTTCTTTTCCAATTTCACGTACTTTTTTCTTAAAATTTTTTATTTTAGAACTTAAGTGTTCACAGAATATCCTAAAAGTATATATTATTTTGCATAAGTCAACTTATCTCACAAAACTAAAAATTTTTAAAATTCACCAATATTGGAACATATAATAAGGGATCATACGGGAATTCGGAAAAATATAGCATTTCCATTTCTCTAAAAAATTATAAATCGAAATATTACTTATATATTTTAAGATTAAAAAATTTAGATTAATGATTGGTTAAGTTATTTTAATTTTAATTTTTGGTAAGTTCACTTTAAACATTGTTATTATTTATTATAAACTTTTAATTATTACTCTTAATTTTTTATTTAAATTTTATCTCTAATTTTTTAATTTATCTATACAAGTTCTTCTTTGAATTAGGCTGAAATTTTTTCTCTAAGAAAGCCAAAATTAAATTTATATATTAATTAATTATATCATATTACTACAAATTTTTTAATTTAGGGGGGAGGGCGGTGTGGTGGCAGCCCCCTCGAATGTACATGCATCCGTGAGTGCATGCAAGGTATATTTGAAAGATGGCCAATTTATCTTATTGAATTAATTACAACAGATTAGCCTAAATTTTTAAAATTTTAACTTACAAATATTCTAATAGTAAAATTTAAAAAATTTAGTATCTAAGATTTGAGAACTTAAGAGTAAATATAATATTATGGTGGGTTAATGGTGATATTATTAAGAAGGGTAAGTATTATTTTGTATAGTTTAAGGGGATAAATAAGACAGAGAAAAAAGTTCAAGAGAGTAAAATAAAATTTTTTTTCTTAAATTTAGGCTTGAACCCTAATCCAAAATTTAGAATTTAAAAAAACTAACAAGGGTGCTTAATCAATTAGACGTAGAACATTGCTTGGATTTCTCAAATCCCAACAATCCGGTTAATATTTTATTAGTACAAGTGTTTTGGCCATGCATATCTATTATCCATGAGTTGATTCATGTATACCTTGACTTTAAAGTTAATTGTATGACTTAATAAAGCACATGTTTGGTTCGTGCGTAACTTTTTCCATTAGTCAGTTAGACCATCAAATTCTCCAACTCAAAAATTTCAAATTCTTAAAAGAAATAAAGAAAGCGTAATAGAGTCCTATACGGACATGACTTCTTATCATTTGTTCATTTGTTCATACATGCGTGTGCTTTGAATATTGACCAATACCGTCTATAATATTTGCTACAAGCATTAAACTTTAGTTTTTCCTCAAAATCTTCTTAATCATCCTAACCTTGATTAAAATGTATACTATAGATGCTAGAATGAAAAAGAAAAGTCCTATAAAACTATTATCTTTTATATGTAAGACTTGAAACCTCTAATAATGGAGGAGTCATGTTTTGGAAAGGTTTTGTGTAGGGTAGGGTTTTGGTCGGTGACTTGAGTGTTATAGGGGTGTAGGGTTTTGGCCGATGACTTTGAGGGTTATATATATATATATATATATAAATTAATTGATATCAATATAAGTGTAAAATATTTAAACTAAATCTAAATTGTAGATATTTATATTTGTGAACTCATGATATAATTTTATAAAATTCTTTATACACGTGATAAATGTTATATTACTTAGAAAAAAGTCACAAGTACCATTGAACAAGGGATCGTAAATGTCTATATTTACCTAATTTATGCTCCATATTATTCTTGATTACTCCTTATTGGATTTTAAATATGTTTTTTTAAACTTAAAATACCATATATAATTCACAATAAGTGCTTATATTTTACTTAATGGAAGAGACAAAAAATAAAAATGCTAATTTAAAATTTATTTGTGTTAGTTGTATGATTTATTATTATATTATGAAGAAACTTTAATCACAATTATAATATTTCGGAAAACAATGAAAAGAGAATTCTTCAGCCGTGTTAAACATGCTGTCTGATCATTTTCAGATTCAGTGAATAGGTTCATTCTTTGCTCCATCATTTTTCTTTCCTTTTGTTTTCGACCTTACTAGGAAGATTTTTTCTTTGAGCATCGTTATCAGTCGGCCTAGATGAGATTGACATGTAGTTGAACTACTTCTAAGTACTTTAATTAATATTTTAAACAGTTTCTGATACATATACAATTTTTAAAATAATTATCTCAAAGAAATTAAATATAATTAGAAAAAAGGCCAAAATCCTAACTGCAAAGATTTTAATGGAAAAAAAAATCTCCTATTTATAGTTGAGGAATTCTTGAAATATTGAAAATTTCAGGTGAGATAAACCACCAAAATGATGAAGATTCTTTCAAAATAATCCTCTCAAAACAAATCTAATCTAAATTAAATCATAAACAAATCTAAATTTAATCTAAATTTATTCCAAATAAAATTTTCATATCCTCCAAAATTAGTTTCACTTAATAAAGCAGAACTTCCTAGATAATAATTATTTATAATTACCTATAATTATGAAATTTTATTTAGGCACTCACCTTTCCATCGCTAGCTAAGCACTAAGGGTATGTTTGGTTACTAGAATTATTCAGTTATCACTATTTAAGGCACAAAACCACAAGTACATAATACTACAACTATTAAATTTTTTAGTTAGAATGTTAAAAATTAAAAAATTTGTCCAAGCTATTTTTCAGCAATTTTTTTACTTCTAATTATTTTTTAGCAGTTTTACTTATTTGTATTACTACTTTTTGCATTACTTTTATGTAAATTTTAGCTAAAAACAAAAGTAGAAGTATTTAAACTCATGTTTCTTGTAATTAATGGCATAATTGTAAATAATTAAATTTTTGTTAGACAAATATATTTTAATATTTTATTATAACTCTATTTTACCCTTATTTAAATTAACAAAGATATTTTGTACATTTATTTATTTTAATTAAATCAAAAATTAAATTAGAATTTAAAAATAAGTGAAATTACATTTTTGAATTGAAAGCAAAATTATATCGAAAAGAAGAATATTAAGAATTAGATTTTAAAAATTATTAATCACTTATATAATTATTGATAATTTATTTATTTTACATTTTAATGACTTCAAAATTGTATTTACAACTTATGAAAGTTTATTGTAGGGTCATATATATCACTATTTAAAAGAAATTTAGACATTTTAAAATATTAAGTAATTATTAACAACTATTTTACTCAACAACAACTTATCAGTTTCTGCTATTTAGTACCATTTACAAATATTTTTAATTTATATATTTTTTCAATACTGTATTAACTATTATTTTTTTTAATACTTTTTTTAAAAATAATAATTCGTGCAAACAAACTCATAATATACATAAGAAAAATATAATATTTACAGCATTTTTATTCAAATTCATTGTAGCCAACAAAACTATGGTCAATTCCATAAATATAATACCATACACGTGTTATAAGTGCTAAGTAACTCTTATGTTGGTCTCATCGTTGATGCATGTTTTTCACAAAAGGAGAGCACGGCGACTAATGGAGTCTATAAATACCTCATCTCCTCAAACTGAATTCACCCACAAAACGACTTCCCATTCAAAGCTCCGAAAATTCTAAGTTCCCCACCCTCCACCTATAAACCTCTCAGTCTTCTTGCTTGTGAACACACCTCCAGCTTAACCTTTTTCCGATGGAGAGAGGAGCAAGTCGTCTAGTCACCGTTCTCAGCATCGACGGAGGGGAATTAGAGGGATTATTCCGGCAGTAGTCCTTAGCTTCCTTGAGTCCCAACTTCAGGTATATATCCATCAATCAAGAGTTGTAATCCACTGTTTGGTTGGTTGAAAAAAACTGGCTGTTTGTTTCCTCCAAAAGGTCCGCTATTTCCGGAGAATTCCAGAAAAGCCATGGAGTGGGGCGTTTCTCTATTTTTTTTACACAAAAAAATGTTTTGATATTTTTTTAAAAATAGAATTAAAAAAATCATAATTCTAATTATTTTCAAAATTAGCATGAGTGATTTCCGAAAATAGAAAATTAGTAAATAAGAGGAGGACTTATCTCAAAAGGTGAAAGATTTAATTTCATTTTTTTTTCAAAAATAGACTACATAATTTCAAAATAATAACTCTCATCCTTCTCATCAAAATAAAATTGTATTTTGTAAGTGTATAAAACGTAAAAATAAATTTTATTTTTATAAAATTTTTAGAAAAAATTATATGTTAGAAGCAACTTAAAAAAAATTATCCAAATCAACGCAAATATATAATTAGCCATGATTTGACACCAATCCAACCATTGAAAAAATTCTAACTCACCCCCAGGACCATTGGATTTCCGTTAATAACGCAGTTGGAAACAAGAAGAACAAAAATGCAAAGACAGAAGGAACCGGAGGGGACCATGACACCAAAGTTTCTACTTTGACATAAGCCATGGGCTTTTTCTAGATAACTCAGCGCACAAAAAGTTGAGCAAACGGATAGTTCTATTCATAAAAAAGGGTGCAAAAATATTTTATTTTTTATTTTATAATAAAAAAGAATTTAATATCCGAAGAATAAACCCAAGCCTCAAATATAATAAATACTGTTTTCTAAATAATCGTTATTTATTTATTGATAATAAAAAAATCTTCTGGCTCTTCGTGCAGAAACTAGACGGCGAGAATGCAAGACTCGCAGACTATTTTGATGTAATTGCAGGGACGAGCACAGGTGGGCTTGTGACCGCCATGCTCACAGCTCCGGATGAAAACAATCGCCCGTTGTATGCCGCCAAAGAAATCAAACCTTTCTACCTCGAGCACGGCCCTAAGATCTTTCCACAGAACAGGTAATTCTTAGACGAGAACAATGAACAAAATAGCTTCATTTGCACTAGATTGTTGTTAACATGTTTTTGTTTCCTCTTCTCCTTCTCCTTCTTAAATGTAACAGCCCATTTTCTCTCGTTAAAAAAGTAGCGAGCGTACTCCTAGGACCAAAGTATGACGGCCAGTATCTTCATCGTCTCATCAAAGGGAAGTTGGGAAACACAAGGTTGCACCAGACGTTAACTAACATTGTTGTTCCGACTTTTGACATCAAGGAACTCCAGCCAACTATTTTCTCAAGCTATCAGGTTTGATTTGATAAGTCTCATATACAATAAATTATTATATACACTCACATTTTCTTAATTAAAAATAACCAGGGTTTTCGTTTTGTAGGTGAAGAATAAACCGAGCCTAGACGCTTTACTCTCAGATATATGCATATCAACTTCAGCGGCCCCGACCTACCTCCCTGCACATTATTTTGAAACGAAGGAGCCCTCAGGGAAAGTGAGGGAATTCAATCTTATTGATGGTGGAGTAGCTGCTAATAACCCGGTATTGATATACCTTCCTTCTTTACTTTTGTTGCCACACTTGCCGATTTCGTAGTGTTGGACAAAACCCAAATGCCACTGTTTCCGTTCTGAGTTGGGTCGGGTCTGAATCTAGGTCCGAATCCACTTTATGCCCTTTCGAAAGGGAAAATAAGTGCAAAGAGATACTAATTGATCAAGTCTGATCTATTTTCGCTAACTAGCTTTATATTTAAATGCAATTCAAATCCACCCATTTACAGTTGACACAGACCGCTAACAAGGATAATAATGGATTTCTCCTCTTCCTAAATTTATCTCTGTTGTTATTATTATTTTACAATTTTAACATTCCCCCCTCAAATTCACTTAATTTCTTGCAGACTCTGGTTGCCATGGGTGAAGTGAGCAAGCACATTCACAAGGGTAACAGTGACTTTTCTTCCGTGAAGCCAACAGATTATGCCCGGTTCCTTGTCTTGTCAGTAGGAACCGGGTCGGCCAAAACAGAGAACAAATACTCAGCAAATTCAGCTGCCAAGTGGGGATCTTTGGCATGGCTGGTCAACGGTGGATCTACTCCATTGATTGACGTTTTCAATCAAGCCGGCGGTGACATGGTCAACTTCCACCTTCGTGTAGTGTTCAAGACCCTTGAATCAGAAATAACTTTCTTCGGATTCAGGTAATAGTTTTTTCATCCGGATCCAAAATTATTTTTTCATAATTCTTGAAAAAAATTCCTTTATTGTTTTCCAACAATCGAGCTTTATTTTTTGATAATTCCTCCAAAAATAATTTCTTAAAAAAACTTGCCGAACTGTTTTTCTATTTCTGAATGATAAGAAAATAATAAAGTATTAAAAAAGAAAAAAAATCTTATTTGACACGCGTGGATGCAGGACGACACATTAACGGGGAAGTGTCTTCAGTTGACACAGCAACCAAGGAAAACATGGAAAAGCTTGTTGAAGTTGGAGAGAGATTGCTGAAGAAGCCGGTTTCAAGGATGAATTGGGATACCGGCATGTTAGAACCCATCAATGAGGGAACTAGTAACGAGGAGGCTCTCATAAGGTCCACAAGCTCTTGAATTACACTGCTCAATTAGTGCTTAATTATAATAATTAATCTGCAATATTCACGTCTAAATTATTAAATCTATTCCCAAATTGTCCTAACCTGGGTGTTTCCTCCATTTCCACAGGCTGGCAAAAACTCTCTCCAAGGAGAAGCGCCTCCGCCAGGACGCCAAATCATCACAACTATGAGGATTTGTGAATTCCAGTGGAAATAACTCCTAGTGTCATGTTCCATCTTCTTTGTGATAGAAAAATTAGTGCTTGTTATGTCCTTGCAAGTTCACCGCTCGCGCAGTGAATTGCTATCAGTGAAATGCTTGTTTAACCATGTCTCTTGTAGCAAAAATATTTGATCGTTTGTTTTCCTATCAAATCATTTTCCTTTTAATTTCTCGCTCCAATAATTGCTTGGTGACCCGAGATTTACCACATAAATTGATTGGTCAGGAAAGAAACTTAATGCAAGTTGTTACGGTAATTATTCCAGAATTATCAGCGTTGGTGATGAAGTTATATCATGCTTCTCAATTAAAATAATTAGAATTATTTAAAATTTTAGCCAGCAGCCTTTATTGAAAATGCTCGTTGAAGTTGTGCCATGTATATAAGACTTCAAATTCTGATTTTCTTCTTATTTTGTTTGGTGTTAATTCAATATACAAAGTCCAGAGCTGGGACCACAACCTCTCCCTTCTGTGCGCATGAGCAATAATGAAGAAGCATCTATTATTTCTTGCACTGTGGAATATTTTTTTGTAACCATTTTCATTTCTTATCTTTTGTTTTATTGCTCTCCTATGGGCATGTTCGGTTTAATGGAGAAGGAGGGAAGGATAAGGATTAAGTGAGATAGATTTTATCCTAGATGAACAGTTTTATTTCATGTTTGGTACGGGGATAAGACACGAGATAAAATAAATCAAATTTACAATAAAAGTATTTTTGTCCATAAAAAAGTATATGATCTAGGACATGGGTATTTTGGTCATCTTACAGGTTTATAGAAAGTATTTTTGTTTAAAAAAATTTAGTTAAACTTTGATGAAATCTGGATAAAATAATCTCACCTCCTCCCATGATAATTTTATCCTAATCTTTCAAGATATGTATCTTTATCTTTATTCTTATCCTGCGTATCGAATGTAAAATAATACAAGATAATTTTATCTAATCCTACCTTATCTTGGAAACCGAACGTGGCCCGCATGTATTGAACTTCAGCTGTATATATTTTCTTTGTCTGATTCAGTCAATAATTGGAATTGTCTCAGATTACTGTATTCATCCTTCTGCCTTGACTTATAATTTCTACCTTCGGCAACATCCAGAACAAATCATTTCTTGCGAGTCGATACAGGTTGATTTTTCTTCCCATGCATGCAGTTCCATTTCACCTAATTATTCCAACCTACCATTCTCATTTGTAATCTTCTTCTTCTTCACCGATCTGAAAGCATGATAAAGAGCTTCAACTTGGGCATGTCGAACATGATAAAGAACTTCAACTTGGGCATTTCAGACAAAAATGTAAATAAAGAAACAAATACCAATTTACTTACACATGACATAAAGAGCCTACAAATACTCTCATATTATCGAGATTATTCCGCAATTGATACGCCTCTAAATTAAGTTCTTTGCAACTGTAAAATCTTTATTTTCTACCAACATGACCACATGCGTGCACTCCATAGAAGTATATTAATTCCCCTTGCTGCTACTGAATGTATGATACGGTAAGACTTATTCTTTTCCCACTTATCAAGTCTCTCATTTGTAAATTTCTTGGCTTTGGTAGGGAATAGATGGCGATCACGATGCCCGAGTTGCGGAATATTTTGATGTGATTGAAGGCCGGGACAAGCACCGCTGGTCTTTTGACCGCTATGCTCACTGCCCCCAATGAGAAAAACAGCCCAATGTTGCCGCCAAAGATATTAAGGCCTTTTATCTTGAATATTGCCCTAAGATCTTCCCTCAGGATTGGTAATTGGCTATTAATTGTCCAACTTGATTCAAATTAAATCAATTCAAGTCCCAATCTAATTATTAATTTGTATATTTAAATATAATATGAAATTATATAATATATGTATTTGTTAATTACATTCGAATTCAATTATTAATTTGTATATTTGAATATAATATGAAATTATAATGTATATATATTTTTTTAATTATATTCGAATTCAATAGATAATTTAAAATTTATCAACAAAATCCGATTTGTTAAGGAAAAATACTCTTTTGTATTTAAGTTCTTAAATTCTATTTCATCAATTACATTAATCCCTAAATTTTTTAAATTCTCTAAATAATCCTTACAAGTATGAATTTATATATATATAAAAGATTATTCATTTAACAAAAAATATTATTGAGATTTAGATTTGAATTTTTAACTATTTTGATTATTTAATTTTATATTCAATTATTTATTTCAAGTTACGGATATTTATAATCTAATGTAATCTATTATATATTTTAATCAAATTTAAACTTTAAATTTAAATAGAATTTAACTCAAATTTATATTAAAATTTGAATATCAACAACTTATTGTTGGTTTAATAAATTATTGCCATTCAAATGTTGTATTGGTATTGTGTTTAACAGCTGCCCTTTTGCCCTCATTTCGAAAGTAAGGAGGTCACTCCCGGGACCAAAATACGATGGCATGTATCTCTGTCGTATAGTTAAGGAAAAACTAGGAAACAGGCGATTGCATGAGACATTAGCTAATGTAGTGGTCCAACCTTTGGCATCAAGCCGCTCACAACCAACCACACTCGTAGAAGGTTTCAATTAATATTTCCCACATGTTGTCGGCCCAATTTGTACGTTGAAGGAGTTTGTGGGCACCATTCATACCAAAAGCTCCGTCTCCCTTATCCGGCCAAATAAGCATGCCCGGGCCCAAATCTGGTGTGGGAGGAATGGGCATGTAGTTTGACTGTAATGCTGCGATTCAGGCAGGCCTTCGACTTTGACCAAAACCAGTTTTGACTAAGCTCCACCATGTCAGCAACTTTGCAGCTTGAGGCACCTTAATATGAACCCGCCCTGCAGTCAATAAATTTTTCTTCTTCTTGCTTACTCGACAATCTGTCCAGAAGTTGATTGCACTCCACGGCTCAAATCTTGGCTCCACTTCTGGCCCAACCCACCACTGCCACCACCTCCAACCAAACATTTCCCAATGTCCCCACGTTAGGCTTTTTATAAAATTGTCTAAGAGCCAGATTCAAGAAGCCTTAGATGTTGGGCTTTTCAATCACCTTAACTCAGGTTTTAATTAAAATTTAAGACAGCACATAATGGACATTAAAGTTATATTTATATTTTAACTCAAGTTTTAATTAAAATGATATAATATTATACATGTAAAGTTCGTCTAGAAATCATCGATCTCTTATTAGTTTAGTCCTTTAATGTACCCAAAAAAATTACATTTACATTTTTTCTCCAAAAAATTTATATTTTATTTTAAAATATATTACCTTAGTATTTTATTTTCTAGGGGTAGCCGGCATGCTTTGTAGTTTAATTTTTAACTGATAGGCTTATCTTTTTTTTTTTTTTGGGGGGGGAGGGGGGAGGGGGGTGAGTCATGACCGGAGAAGTCTTGAGAATGTGCTTGGTAAATTAAAAAATAAAAACGGAGTTATTTTAAAACAATGATATAGTCTCCCCCCGTTCCTCTAATTCTGTAAATATTTAACATTTGACTCAGTGTCTTAGAAATCGAGGTTTCCCACCCCCCCCCCCCCCCAAGAAAAAAGCACTAAAATTTTAAAATAAAGGAGAATTTAAAACTTTGAAGATTACGTTATTAGCCTTTGTGTTTGATATGTTCAAGCCAATTAAATAAGGGCAAACTTGTCGACGTCAAGATAATTTCCTTTGATCCACTCTCCAGACTCATTGGTTTCATGCAACACGTTGATGGCCTAATTAAATTGCGTAACAATGTAGGATACTTCTTCGTAGCTTCAACTTTTTTATTTCTTCGTTAATTTAAATTTATATAACCTCACGTTTTTTAGTTTTTTGAAAGCAAAACCAAACTATCGCATCCAAAATCTTTACTACTTGATTGTGACGTGTGGATTGGGATGGGATTTGGCTCTGCTGGGGGTTGACCTTCTTCTGGTTGCAAGTCTGTCTGGTGATCCGATTGTCTCTGGTTTTTGCCCTAGGCTGCTGGTAGGGTTTTGGGGGTTTTAATTTGTAATGCTTGCTCGCCTAAAAGGTGGTAGAGGGGTTGCTCAATTAATTAAGAAAATGGTGGGGGTGGGGGGAAGGGTGCATGGTCTAAGGTTTTTGTGTTGGGAGTTAAGTGTTTTTTTGGATTTTAGAATTTGACTTGACTTAATATTCTATTAGTACAAGTGTTTTGGTCATGGATATCTGTTATCCATGAGTTTATTCATGTATAGCTTGACTTCAAAGTCAATTTTATAACTTAATTGGCCGTGTTTGGTTTATCTCTAACTTTTTCTATTATTTACTCAAATTATCAAAATTTTCTCCAACAGAAATTTACAATTCATAAAAGAAAGAAAAAAAAAAAATAGAGTCCTATATGGACATGACTTCTTATCATTTTTGTCATGCGTGTGCTTTAAATATTAACCTATGCCATTTATAATATTTACTACGAGCATTAAATGTTAGTTTTTACTCAACATCTTCCTAGTCATTTGTAGCCCAAATCAGAACGAGGAAGACAAGTCCTATACGAAATTTTTACATGTGAAACTTGAAACCTTCCTAATAATGTGAAAGGGGTGTCTTGTTTTGGATGGTTGTGTATTTGGCTTTTGTCGGTGACTTTACTTTGTATAGGGGTGATCTTGGACGGAGATATATATGTTTGAATTTTGGTTTGGTTGATGGTTATTTCACAATTGAGCTATTGGATCCTAATAAAGTGAATCTTTTTTTTTTGCGTGAATGTTTATATTTGTGGACTCATAATATAATTTTATAAAAAAAATTGTATTTATGCAATAAAAGAGGGATCATTGAACAAAAGAGGGATCATAAATGTTTACATTAACCTAATTTATTGTCTATATTATTCTTAATTAGCCTTATATGGCATTTCAAATATATTTTTTAATTAAAATACACTTTTCTCCCTTCATCATCAATATTCAAAAAAATTAGACTATTTATTAAACTGGAAAAATTAGCATTTCATATTTCACCGATTCAACCATCATCAAATCATTATTAAATTGTGATATTATAATTATGTGTTACCCACACACACACACACACATTGTGAGAACTAAATTGAGTAGATTAAATTTTAAGGACTTTTCGTAAGAGTTTAAGTGAAAAAATTCAAAGTTCAAAGACTGATGCGAAGATTTAGGAACAATAGAGACTAGATTGAATGAGAAAAAAAATCATGAGAGACCAATGTGCAATCCCTCTTTCATCTTTAGTCAGCAGAGTAATTTACCTAGACAGAAGTAATCCCTCTATCTCATAGTCAAAAGATTGATGAGCAAAACAACAATATTTGTAGTGATCACATGAGGATTTTGTCAACAGTAGTGATAGCAGCAACAGTTGGTGCCGTTGCAGTGATCACAACAGTAGAAGCAAAGTATTGTGACACCAGCAATAGTACTAGTCAGAGACGACAAAAGGATTGGAGGGAGGGCTTCTACTAGGAGTTTGTGATTTTAGTGGTCTGCATCCTTCTAGCCTTTTTTGTTATTGTCAATTGCAATGAAATGCCAGAGGCTTCGAGTGAAAGACACAAACAATGGAGGGCAATGGCGATGAGAGAACGAAGACAACGCTGGCCAGAAGATTCTAGTTTAATTGAACCATGAATGATTCCTTGGTTTGAACAGTTGAACTGTCAATTCAGACAAAAATAGCACTTTTTTTCTTTAGTTTTACTAATTTTTGGTAAAAATTGAATTGATAATGCGATGGATCAAATGGTCAGGCCATCCAATCTGGTTTGACCTTTAAAACATTGCCCAACAAATATAATTCACAATAATTGTAATGTTTTATGTTTTACTTAATGTAATAAACAAAAAGAAAATGCTAATTTTAAATTTATTTGTGTCTTAAATATTCTTCATTATTTTATCGTAATTATGTGGAAAACGATGAAAAGAGGAATCACGCGGGCTGTAGATACAGTTACCCATTTCATCACGTCATCGGTCCCGATCATTTTCATATTCAGGGAACTGGTCCCCCGTTCTTTAAAACGAGCAACTTTCTTTTCTTTTCTTTTCGAAGTTACTAGGAAGAAAGTTGTCCTCGGAGCAACATTATCAGTCGCTATAGATAAGGTTGACATGTAGTCAGTTGATCCCGATCATTTTCATATTCAGGGAACTGGTCCCCCATTCTTTAATCCGAGCAACTTTCTTTCCTTTTCTTTTCTTTTCGAAGTTACTAGAAAGAAAGTTGTCCTCGGAGCAACATTATCACTCGTTCCAGATAAGGTTGACATGTAGTCAGTTGAGCTACTTTTAAATACTTTAGTTAATGTTTTGAACAGTTTCACTTAATAAAGCTTGACTTCCTCGATAATTAATAAATTGTAATTACAGTAGCTATGAAATTTTATTTGGGCACTCACCTTTCCATCTCTTGCTAATCACTAAGAGTATGTTTGGTTAACTGAATTATTACTTTTTAAGTCACAAAACAAAAACACACAATATTACAATTCTTAAAATTTTAAGTTAAGAATGTTATAAAGTGAAAAATTATATAGTATACTAAAGAAAAATATGATATTTGTAACATTTTTATACAAACCCATGATTCTTTTTTGGTCAATCATATGGTTGTTGATACACGTGATTTTAGTGCTAAGTAAACAATTCTGGTTGCCGTGGATGCATGCTTTCCACGAAAGGATGCATGACAATCAATAGAGTCTTAAATACCTCACCTCCTCAAACTGAATTCACCCACAAAAACCTCTCTCAATTTTCTTAATTTCTTCTCATTCTAGTTTCCCACCCCACCTACAGACCCTTCTATAGATCTTCTTCTTGTAAACACACCTGCAGGTCGACCTTTTCTGATGGAGAGAGGAGCAAGTCGTCTAGTCACCGTTCTCAGCATCGACGGAGGGGGAATCAAGGGATTATTCCGGCAGTAGTCCTTAGCTTCCTTGAGTCCCAACTTCAGGTATATATACATCAATCAAGAGTTATAATCCACTGTTTGTTTGGTTGAGAAGAACTGGCTGTCTCTTTCGTCCAAAAAAAGCTTCGCTGTGTCGACAGAATTCTAGAAAGGACGCAGTCGGGTTCTTTTAAAAGAGTTTTGATGGAAATTTATTTATGTTTTATTAGTTTCTTATTCTGATCTATTTTTTTTCGAAAGAGCGCCGGAAGCTTGTGCATGTAAATCCAGTGTCATTTTTAAGGAAAAAAAATCCTTTAATCCATAAATGGAAGTAGATGAACATTGTGCTTATTTATTTTTTTAATAAAAAAATACTTCTTAAATATTTTAGAATGTTTAAGGAATTTTTTTGAAAAAAATAAAATTAAATAAATCAGATTTCTTATTATATTAAAAGTTGGCATGAGTAGTTTTGAAGAACAGAAAATCAGTAAACCATGAGAAACTTCTCTCAGAAGGCACATAAATTAATTTTATTTTTTTAAAAAAATATTCCTATTTAATTTTAAAGCATAATTCTTATACTTCTTATTAAAGTAAAAAGTGTTTTTAGTAATTACATTTAAACCACCCAAAAGCACTTTTGCTTTCATAAAATTTCTATAAGAAAAATTTTATGTTAAAATCAAATTTTTTTAAAAAAAAATCCAAATCAACCCTAATATATCATTACCCATGATGTGACACCAATCCAACCATTAAAAAAAACTCTCGCCATCTACCACCCCAAGTTAAACCACTAGACTATACGATTTCAATTAATAATGTAGATGGTAACAACAATAACAAACAAACAAGCAAAGCCAGAAGGAACCGGAAGGCCATCACTCCAAAGTTTTTATTTTGACATATGCCCCGGTCCTTTTCTAAATAACTCGACGCACGAAAAGTTGAGCAAACGGATAGTTGTATTCATAGAAGTCATTTAAATTTAAGGTCATGACTAAGGTAATGAAAAAAAGGTGCAATTATGTTTAATTTTTTATTTTATAATAAATTAGATTTTCAAAAACGTACGCAACCAATATCCAAATAAATAAACCCAATACTCAAATATAATAAATAATTGTTTGGTAAATAATCGTTATTTATTTATTAATGATAAAAAATCATCTATTTTTTATGTAGAAACTAGACGGCGAGAATGCAAGACTCGCAGACTACTTTGATGTGATTGCAGGGACGAGCACAGGTGGGCTTGTGACGGCTATGCTCACAGCTCCGGATGAAAACAATCGCCCCGTTATATGCCGCCAAAGAAATCAAACCCTTCTACCTCGAACACGGCCCTAAGATCTTCCCACAGAACAGGTAATTCTTTGTCAGAGAACTACGAACAAAATAGTCTCAGTTATACTAGATTGTTACTCTAACATGTTTTTTTCCTTCTCTTCCTCCTCCTCCTCCTCCTCCTCCTCTTCTTCTTCTTCTTCTTCTTCTTCTTTTCTTTTTCTTCTTCTTTTTTTAAATGTAACAGCCCATTTTCTCTCGTTAAAAAAGTAGCGAGTGTATTCCTAGGACCAAAGTATGACGGGCAATATCTTCATCGTGTTATCAAGGGGAAGTTGGAAACACAAGGTTGCGCCAGACATTAACTAACATTGTTGTTCCAACTTTTGACATCAAGCAGCTCCAGCCAACTATTTTCTCAAGCTATCAGGTTTAATTTGATAAGCATTTAATATACAATAAATTATATAGACCCATCTTTTTTTTTAATTAAAAATAACTGGTGTACTCGTTCTGTAGGTGAAGAATAAACCAAGCCTAGACGCTTTACTGTCAGATATATGCATATCAACTTCAGCTGCCCCGACTTACCTCCCTGCACATTATTTTGAAACGAAGGAGCCCTCAGGGAAAGTGAGGGAATTCAATCTCGTTGATGGTGGAGTAGCAGCCAACAACCCGGTATTTATATTCTTTGCTTTTTACTTTTGTAGCTAACCTTGCCGAATCTGCATTACCAATTTCAATAGTGTTGGCACAAAACCCAAATGCCATTGGGTCGGGTGGGGTTCGAATCTAGGCACGAATCCACTTTTATGCCCGTTCGAAAAGGAAAATAAGTGCAAGGAGACACAAATTGATCAAGTCTGATCTATTTTCACTAACTTTATATTTAAATGAAACTCAAATCCACCCATTTACAGTTGACACCGGCCACTAATAAGGTTAATAACGGATTTCTCATTTTCCTAAATTTCTCTCTCTTATTATTATTATTATTATTTAAAATTTTAATATTCCCTCCTCAAATTCACTTAATTTGCTCCAGACTCTAGTTGCCCTTGGTGAAGTGAGCAAGGACATTCACAAGGGTAACAGCGACTTTTCTTCCGTGAAGCCAACAGATTATGCCCGGTTCCTTGTCTTGTCAGTAGGAACCGGCTCGGCGAAAACCGAGAACAAATACTCGGCAAATTCAGCTGCCAAGTGGGGATCTTTGGCATGGCTGGTCAACGGTGGATCTACTCCATTGATTGACGCTTTCACTCAAGCCAGCGGCGACATGGTCAACTTCCACCTTCGAGTAGTGTTCAAGACTCTTGAATCAGAAAATAACTTTCTTCGGATTCAGGTAATAGTTTTTTCATCCGGATCCAAAATTATTTTTTCATAATTCTTGAAATAAATTTCTTTATTGTTTTCCACAATCGAGCTCGATTTTTTTGATAATTTTTCCAAAAATAATTCGTCCAAAAAACTTGCCGAACGGGTTTTTCTATTTCTGAATGATAAGAAAATAATAAAAGTATTTATATAAAAAAAATCTTATTTGACACCCGTGGATGCAGGACGACACATTAACGGGGGATGTGTCTTCAGTTGACATAGCAACCAAGGAAAACATGGAAAAGCTTGTAGAAGTTGGAGAGAGATTGCTGAAGAAGCCGGTTTCAAGGATGAATTGGGATACCGGCTTATTAGAGCCCGCCGATGAGGAATTACTAACGTGGAGGCTCTCATAAGGTCCACAAGCTCTTCAATTACACTGCTTAATTAGTGTTTAGTTAACAATTAATCTCTAATGTTAACGTCTTATTTATTACCCCAAATTGTCCTAACCTGGGTGTTTCCTCCATCTCCATAGGCTGGCAAAAACTCTGTCCAAAGAGAAGCGCCTCCGCCAGGACTTCAAATCATCACACAACTTTGAGGATTTGTGAACTCCAGTGGAAATAATTCCTAGTTTGATGTTTCATTTTCTTTTCCAATTAAATGTTGTCCTTTTCTTCTTCTTCTTCTTCTTCTTCTTCTATTTTGTGATAGAAAAATAAAGGCTTGTTGTCCTTGGAAGTTCACCGTTAGTACAGCGAATTGCTATCGGTGAAATGCTTGTTTAATCATGTTTCCTGTGGAAACAAAAATTGATTGGTGCTACTTTTAAAATTAATTTCTTTTGAGGGTGTTTTCTGAAAATTAAGGGACCAACAATAGTCAAATTCATTTTCTTCATGGTCTTCATGCAAGTTGTTACGGTATTATTCCGGAATTATCAATGTTGGAAATGAAGTTATATCATGCGTATATCAATTAATATAACAAGAATTATTTGAAATTTTAGCCAGCAGCCTCTGGTGAAAATAATCGTTCAAGTTGTCCCAATGAATAAGATTTCAAATTCTGATTTTCTTCTTAATATGTTTGGCAACATCCAGAGCAAACCATTTCTTGCAAGTCTCTAAAAAGGTGGATTTCCTCCCATGCATGCAGTTCCATTTCACCTAATTATTAATTCTAACCTACCGTTCTCATTTGTAATCTTCTTCTTTTTCTTGACCAATGTGGAAGCATGATAGAGAAGTTCAACTTGGGCATTGTCAGACAAAAAAAGTAAGTGAACAAATACCAACTGACTTAAAACATGACACAAAGAGCCTACAAATGATCCGAAAGATATTTGTTTTTTTGGGATTTGGATTTGATTAAAAATTTTATTTAAATTATGTTTATTTTTATTTTTTAAGATTAGATTTAGAATTATTTAGGATATAAAATTCAAATTTTTAGGATTATCTCTAAAGGACAATCTTCTTTTTTGAAGGATTTTAGTCTTTAGGTCTCTATTCTATATAACTTTTATTTATAAAAATAAGACTTTTTTTTCATTAAAAAGAGAGAAAAAAATATTTTCAAAAGTTTAAGATTAATCAATAATTTTTCAACAAGAAGTCAACAAGCCCTTCAATCATTCTAACCGCACTTGGAAAAACATTAACAAAGTTCGGCTAAGTGAGTGTAAGAATCTACAATATTTAAACTCCATAAATAAGATGATTTGACAAAAAATTGGATTTATAATTTGGGTTCTTATTATAGTTTAAATAGGGTTTTCTCAAAACTAGATGTATAAGCACCATTGACTTTTTATTAATTAATTTCAAGTTCAATTTTTTTTTTTACAATTATTCTAATTGACTTTGGATAATTTTTGTTCATGTGGTTCTGTGTGCCCATTATTTGTACTTTGTAGATATTATAGATCAACAAATAATTATTGGCTTCTTAGAGTCTGAGCTTCAATTAATATAAACTCAAAAATCCAAGATCCATAAATTTTATAATAATTTAATTTGTTTCATTTCGAGAAGCAAACTGGTAACAAGTATTTCTACCAATAAGACCGCATGCGTGCTCTCCGTTGGAGTGTATTACTTCACTTTGTCAAATGAAAGTTGGCTCTGAATATATAATGCGGTGATATATAGACCCCTACTCGTTCTTTTCCCACAAGTACTAATTTATAATTTTCTTGGCTCCTGTAGAGGATCGATGGTGATGAAGAAGCTATTAACTCATTACTGTCTGTCAAAAGCCTAATTTGGATCAAATTTAGTTATTTGAATTTGATTATCAATTTGCATAATCGAATTCGATTAAATCTTATTAAATATATATCTATTAATTTATATTTTAATTTAATAAATAATTCATAATTTATTAATAAAATTTAATTTAACAAAAAATAGTATTTTTTACATTTAAAATCATAAATTTTATTCTATTAATCATATTAATCATCAAATTTCTTAATTTATTCAATTTAGTTCACACAATTTTAAATTTTTTAATGTTATTTATATTAATTTAATAAAAAATATGACTGAAATTTGGATTTGAATTTTTAAGAAAACATATATATTGCTTAATTCTATTTGATTTACTTATTTTATATTATAGATATTTATAATTAAAACTAATCAATCATATTTTTAATTAAATTTAAAATTTAAAATTTAGATTAAATTAAATTAAAATCCAGTGTATTCATAATTCATTATTAGTTGAATTAATTATTATCTTTTAACTGTAGCATCATCTAACCCATTTATTTGGTTTAACTGCTGTCCATTCGCCCCATTTCAAAAATAATGAGGTCACTCTCGTATGCTGACGACAGATCTCTTCCATTGATTACTTTCATGGTTTTGGGATTTGAGTATTATGATTGAACGCTAAAAGACAGCTTATTATTTATGCAATAAATAATTAAAAAAATAAAGAATGAATACATAGTTAATGTTCGCCTTAACACGGTGAACTTTGCTCTAAAAGAGAAAAATACAAGCGAAAGTGGAAGGTGTTGCATGCGTATGCTTTGCATCAACCCGAATAGTTAAATTAATCACCACCGTACAAGGCCTGATGAGGAACTATAAGCTGAGGTACTTGATTCTTCATCCGGTTTGCAGCCACGACCGGGTGCGGCGATCGTATGTCTCGTATCTGCTTCTCATCGGAGAGTATTTTTACAAATCTGAAATATGTGAATTAAAGACACATAATTAGCCACTAATATGTCTATGCAAAGCATTTTTTTTTTCTTTTTAAGGATGTACCTCCGCAAAGCTTCTTCATTAGTCTCTGTACCCGAGGGCTCCACTAGGCCGGTCTCAAGGTTTATCCTAGAAACCGGTTTCTTTAGCAACCCTTCACCAACTTTGACAAGCTCTTCCATATTCTCGTTGGTTGCCTTATCAACAGATGATACATGCCCAATTAAAGTGTCATCCTGTAATTTTGATTCACCAATACATATGTCAATGGGTGTTTAAAAGAAAAAAAAAAAGAAAAAAAGAAAAAAATTAAAATCGGGTTTTTTGTTTAAAAAGCTAATGAAGAACCAAAAGTGATATACTTCTAAAATTTTGGGATTAAATATGTTATAATAAAAGTATAAGGACCAAAACGTAAATCTCCAGTCAAAACGGTTGAAAATTTTACTTCATTTCGTTTGATTTTTTTTTTTCTCAGCAAAAAATGTACCTGAATCCGAAGGTAATTCTTCTCAGAGTGGAGGGCTTGAAACACCACATTAAGGTGATAGTCAACCATATCAGAGCTGGCTTGGCTAAACACATCCACTATGGGTGTAGTTCCACAATTGTGCAACCATCCCAGTAGGCCCCATTTGGCAGCTATATCTGCATTAAACTTCTCCTCAACCTTGTGTGATCCGGTCCCTAACGATATAACCAGAAGCCGACCATAATCCAATTTTTCTATGGCGAAATAGTCTGAACTTCCCCTCATGATTTGCTTCGTCACCTCTCCGACGGCAACCAAAGTCTAAAAACGAAGAAATTGAGGCAAAAATGAGTGACAAAGAAAGAGAACAGTAGCTGAGAGGTACTAATTTTGAAGTAAAACTTGGTGGGTACCGGATTATTTGCAGCAACACCGCCATCAATTAGGTCGAATTCCTTCTCTTTTCCATCTGGGTACTTGGTTTTGAAGGAATGCGCGGGAAGATAAGTTGGTGCTGCTGAGGTTGAAATGCATATATCAGAAAGCAAGGCATCCATGCAGGGCTTATCCTTCACCTGTACCATGGAAAATTTACATTCTTGACTCAATCAGCACTCACAAGCAATATGATTTCTGAGCTGTAAGGGGATGATAAGAAATTAACCTCATAGGTGGAGAAAATGATCGGCTGGAGCCTCTTTATGTCGAAGGTTGGAATTGCAATGTTTGTCAGTGTCTGGTGTAACTTCGTGGTTCCAAGCTTTTCCCGGACGAGACGGTGCAGATAGCGACCATCATATTTTGGCCCTGACAGGGCTTTCACAAGAGGAAGAGGGTGCCTGTTTAATTAAAATAATTCAAACATGTTAAAAAAATAATTAATTAATTGCCATACTATCTATATAATTTTAATTTACATAGTCATTACCAACTCTGAGGGAATATGTTATGGCAGTGTTCAAGGTAGAAGTCTTTGATGTCTTTAGCATCAAACAATGGACGGTTATTTTCATCTGGTGCAGTGAGCATGGCAGTCACAAGTCCTCCGGTGCTTGTTCCTGCAATTATATCAAAATAGTCCGAGATTCTTGCCTCCTCGCCGTCCAATTTCTGCAGCAAAAGACGAAACCCATTTGTACTATAAGAACAAGAAAGATTAAGATAATTAATTCTCATGCAGCAGCTGAGATGTTTATTCTTAGTAGACTTAATTATTGCTTTGTGATTCACTTAAGGTATGCACAATCTATCTTAGGTGGTTGTGGGTTCCTTATGGAGTTTCTTGTCTTCCTAAATGATGATTTCAGGCAGACAGCAGGATTTTAATTCTTGCAAACTGGGGTTTCTATATTTAGAAGGAGAAAACTACGTTCAAAACAAAACCGAACATATTTAGAGATGTTTTTGATTTGATAAATAGAGAAAGTATTTATACCTGAAGCTCGGACTCGAGGAAGGCGAGTATTATTCCAGGGATAATCCCTCTTATTCCACCTCCATCAATGCTGAGAACAGTGATCAGGTTTCCATAAGTAGGGGCTGAAGGGGTGACTGCGGTGTGTGGGCGTCCTTGGAGTCTCCATATCTTTCGGTATGTGACAGAGAGAGATGAAGAAAAGAAATATCAAGTTTTTGGTGGCTTTGCAGAGAGATTTTAAGTTCTAAATTTGAGCATTCCTCGTTGGTGATTCTGGGTCTTTATAGAGTTTTCATTTTCAAAAATTTTCCATGATCAATTCAACGATGGTGCACTTGATGAATCTTCTTTCAAATTCATGAACTTAATTTGCACGTACTTCTTCAGATTTTTAGTTGGACCGAGTATGGTGGTCCCTTTTAACAGTCCTCTCCTTGACCATAAAAACTGCTAGTGTCCTTGACAGTAACGTATATCTGACTAGTAGGTGAAGCTCATAGAGGATTAATTGTAGGTCAAGACAACGTGAGGAATTGGTAAAAGGACTTGCAGCTCATCCTATCTCCAATCCTTAGCCAATTGCCTCAACTAGTACTATAATTATCTTCAATTGGGAGACGAGACATATGTGTCACTTTCACGTACCCAATTCAATAAGAAGTTTTAATAATCAACTCTAATACAGATGTACTTCCCACCGTGAGGAGGCCAGATGTGCATGTAGACGAAAAGAAAAGTGAAGAGAAAATTCCTGGTAAGCATCTCTGAGTTGCATCATGGTATGTTCTCGTTTTAACATTTTTATCATTCAACGTTGATGGAGTTCTATTTAATTTCCATTCTTCATTGCGTTAGATCTTTAATGCTCATTAATTTTTGATTAATTGATAAGCTAGATAATCTTCAATTATGAACTTGTTTAAATGTGGACACGAGGACTCAGTCTAATGAGAAATTTAGTATACGAAGATGACCAGTTACACGCCGCTATATGTGCAGCATAGCTAGACTAGTCAGACGAGCTTTCCTTTTCTTTTCACTAAATGACTAATGAGAAATTTAGTATACGAAGATGACCAGTTACACGCCGCTATATGTGCAGCATAGCTAGACTAGTCAGACGAGCTTTCCTTTTCTTTTCACTAAATGACTAATGAGAAATTTAGTATACGAAGATGACCAGTTACACGCCGCTATATGTGCAGCATAGCTAGACTAGTCAGACGAGCTTTCCTTTTCTATTCACTAAATGACTGTTAGGAACTCTTTCAAGATTGTACGAATTAAAGCATCATACACTTCAAATTTACGTGAGAAAGGTCAATCTGGCGTTGTGTATGTATGTATACACACACAGATTTATTATATTAAAATTGTTGAATATATATATATATATTATTTTCTCATTGAACTAGTATTTGTCAGTTGAAATAATTATCATATATAAATAATATAATATATATATATATTTTATATTACTCTAAATTTGTAAAATATTTTATATATTTTTATATTTGTACGCCCATATTTGCCTTTCTACGTTTCTTCCGTATGACACCATCTGTGAGGTGGTAGTCCAGGAGATGACGGCTTTGTTGCTCAGCAGTCAACCTCTCTTATGGAAGCCAGCATGAAGGAGGAGGAAGAATTAAGTTACGTTCTTCATGAGTAAACCATTATAAGAGATTAAATAATATATGAGATCATCACCAAATTAATGTTGGAAAATAAATCGGTAGTTAATTAAACACGTATTACCAAAGATGGGTCAGCAATAGAAATTAGCCTTTGTTTTAATTTCAACCTTTTCTTTTAATTTTATCATCCCAGTCCTTCAAAACACGTTCATTTTTAAAAGAAGATTTCTCTAGAAATGTTCAACAAAAGAAGATTTCTCTAGAAATGTTCAACAAATATATTCCAGAGAAGTCCCTATTGATACACTCTTAGCACTTGACACGACAACATCCCTAATATTGGGTGTGTTTGAGGGGCTTGAGTGGCATCCTTGGGTGAAGAAGATGCCAAGTACCTAGGTGAGTCAAGGTAATCCAAAGGGGTCAATCAACAGAGGCAATGACATGTCGATTGAAGCCTGGTAACCAAGACTCAAGCAAGTAAGTGCTGGCATGGCAAGGCAAATGTGGAGGTTGAAGGCAGACAGTCGAGGCACGATGCGTGCCGAGGCGCGATGCGTGTCGAGGCATGAAACGTGTTGAGGTGCGGCATGATGTAGGCCCAAACATTAGTTGGGTCCAAGACTAAGGCAACAGCCCTCCGTCTAGCAAGTCCATGAGCCAACGAAACCAGCTAGTAGTAGGCTAACTTAGGCAGACCAGGTCGACCAAGTAGGTTGGACTGGGCTGCAACCCACTTGATCAAGGCGCAGACAAAGACTTCAGACAAGATAGCGGGGCGCGGGGCGCGATATACTCGAAATCTTGTCAGAAAACCAAGGGCGCCTCAAGCCAGGTTGATAAGGATCAACTAAGGATCAAGAAGCAATTAGCTTGTTTGAATTCAAATCAAAGGTCCCAAGAGAAAAATGAGGGCTAGAGATTTGGATAAGTCAGAGTTACTCAAGACTTAGGAACTATGCTAGCCATCCAAGTAGATTGTGATCAAGAATCCAAGAGATCCAAGGGCCAAGTTTAAATGGCGGAGATTCTCAAGCTCAATAGATAAGATTTTGGCCTAACTCCAAATCAGCCAGGATCTGCATTCAACGGAGGAGCTCAAGATAAGAAGCATCTAACGGGGGAGTTTTGGACGAGCTAGTAGGGAGTTAGGATTATGATCACGGGGTGTATCTATCTGTTGAGAAAGATTGACTCGTATGCCTCTACCTCTATAAGTATAGGGCAGGCTTAGGAGACCAAGGTTAGGAGAGTTGCTAGGTCTCCAAGCATTGAAAGTATAACATAAGAGAGAGAGAGCCTTTTGTGTTTCCTTATACTTTGATATCAAGTAAATAAAGTATCAAGATTGGGACTTAGTCTCGTAAGATCAGTGTCAAGGGATTTTTGTGGGTGGTTCGGGACACACTCACTTAGCACACACTTGGGCGTGGCTAGGGGAAACACGAGGGTCAGTCAGTGAGGCGCGACGCAACGCGATCTAAGGCAAGGCGTGATGCAGGCGAGGCTTACAAGTCATTCCCACGTGACTTGGCTGATTACTCTAAGGAGAAAAATTTGACGTTTCAATTTTCATGCTAGCCATAGGGTAACACCTACCAAGGTAGAAAAATTGTAGAACAACCCCATTCAATGCATCTATTTGTGTTTTATTTTGTAGGACTATTATTCTCTCTTTAAAAATGTATCTATTAAGATGTGTAGTATCCCATCTTATAATTTAATCTCTCATTCACCCACTCTAATATAAGATTGGTGACACTCTCTCCCACTTCAATTCTTGACACTCTTGTCAAGCCTGTTTCTCATAAATGCGATTGCATGATGGTTTGCCCTCCTCTTGTTCGATAGTTGTCACACTGGTCTTTTTGGTATTTGCTGTTTTGGTTGGTTAGTTGGTTTTGTCTTGGCTAATCCTCTATTTTTTATGGGTGTTTGTGTTGGGGTGTCTGTCAGCTTCTGGGTCGATGGCTAGGTAGGCCTTGTCTCCTCCAGCCTCTGCTTTTGCTGTCTAGCTTTATGCCCAATTTTTGGCCAATTTCAAAGCTCGGTGGTTGTTTTTGTATGCTATTGTATAGCCCATCTTTTAGGTTCCTATATAGGTAGGGTCCTGCTAGGGTTTCGTTTGGTTGTACAGGTTTTGCTCTTGGGTTCCTTCCCTCGTGTGCTGGGGATTTTGTTTTGGTTGTGTATGTTTCGTTCTTGTCCATACTCAATATCAAATACAGACAATTTTAAATAATATTAATGATATACATATTTTTTTAAGAAGAAAATTGGTGAAGACCTCCAAAAAATCATGACTTTTGCACTGTTTATTTCATAAAATAAAAATCAATAATAAGTAGGGATACAATATCAAGTTGTAATAAAAAACTACACACATAAATAAGAAATTTAATTTAAACCTAAGACTACAAATGAGGAGACAGAGCTGAAGATCAAACCGGAATTTATTTAATAAATCAAATAACAATAAGCGTATTTAGATGAATAGGACTAGAAAGGATTAATGCACTAGTAACTCTTCAAGCTAGCCATTTTTGGTGAGTGGGGATTTCAACTCTTGAAGCTTCCTTTCATCCGAAAGCAGTTTTGCAAACCTGTCATCCATAAATCAGAAATTAATTTTTCCAGGTATTCACACAAAACAATTAAGCACATTGGTATCTTGAAAACAGCATCCATACTTTTCAAAGCATCTTCATTTGTGCCACCGTTTTCAATTGGCTCGGAGAAACCATCTCCAAGTTCACCCTCGAAACTGGCTTCTTCAACAACCTCTCTCCGATTTCAACCAGCTTTTCGAAGTTCTCCTTGGTGGACACATCAACCGAAGCGTCCTTCCCACTCAACGTATCTTCCTCAAAGTAATTGTTGAGTATAAGGTTGATGAAGGGTAAGAAATCTCTCTGGAAACCCTTCTTGTTTTTTCTTTTTGAAAATTTAAATGCATACAATTCAAAGGAATTGAACCTGGATTCAAATTAGGTAATTGTTTTCGGAATGAAGAGCTTGGAAAAAAATGGAGTTGTGAAAATCAACCATATCAGCACTTGCTTGAGTAAACACATCAACTAGTGGGGTGGAGCCTCCATGAATCAACCAACCCAAGACTCCTCATTTGGCTGCCATTTTTGCATTGTACTTCTTCTCCACCTTTGCGGAGCCGGTTCCTATTGATATCACCAAATATTGACCATAGTACACTTTTAATAAAATCTAGTTATTTATCACTAAGATAACTCCTATATTTGATATTAGGTCCAGACCCAGTAAATTAGTTGTCTTTATAATTGTTAGACCAATACTAGATACTAATACAATGGATATTAAGATTCTTGATTTAGAATGTCAATATTTAATATCAAATAAATTAAAAATAAGGAACGTTAGAAGCAAAAGACATGCCATGAAAACAAGGAAGGTGCATCAAAAATGAAAGTTGGAAGATTAAATAGCCATTAGCCTTTTGGATGGCAATAGAGTTATGAGATCATATTACAATAATTTTCATAGTTTAAGGACTTAATTTTAAAAAATAAAAAGCTTATGAGTGGAAGCTAAAGATAATGCTAATAATGTACCCTTTTTGAGGGAAGATCTTAGGGCCATGCTGGAGATAAAATGGGCAATGGCCTTGGCTACAAAGAGAGGACGGTTGTTTTCATTGGGGGCAGCCAACATTGCAGTTATGAGACCACCCGTGCTTGTTCCCGCAATAACGTCAAAGTAATCCGCAAGTCTTGCATCTTCACCATCCAGCTCCTGCTTAATCCAAATTTGCGCTGTTAATTTCATTATTTAACAATTAACGTGCATGTTCAAACATGTCCATCCATATGTTTGGAACATATAATTTCTTTCCAAGTTGCTCCTTAAGGCCCAAATCTAAAAGAAAAAAGCTTAGACCCCTCCCCACGTAATAATTTCTCAAACGGTCAGTCATTATTTGCAGTTATAATAACAATGCTAGGACTGCTGATGAAAGAAGGTTTTAATCTGAATTTAATCTAATTATACAAATTTATAATAAAAAATAAATAGAGTAAATATGAATTTTATCTTATTCGCTTTATTAAAAATCTAAAATCTAAATATGTGTGTGTGTGTATGCAATATGTATGTAAGTAAATTATATACATATTATATATATGACAAATAATATTATATATATCACATTATAGACTTGATTTATTCAAATTTAATTAATAAATTATTATTCCTAAAAAATAGAAATCAGAAACATTTATATTTTTTTATAAAATTGTAAATGAGAAATAAGTAAATTGATAGATTAAATATAATTGTTATGCATTATTAGTAAACCAATCTCAAATACAATATTTGTGGTAGATAAAATGCAATTATATTATACTTTTGAACTCTAAAATTTATTAATTCATATTTTAAAGAATTTATTATTTTAGTTTTAAATTATTTTTCTAAAATGTAAAATAATAAAGATATGATAATTCAATAATTCAGATTTGAATTATTGTTTTGAATATTATATTTTATTTGAATTTGGATATTATAACACTAAATACATATTTTTTAAGATTTATGGTCAAATTCGAATATAACATACTACAATCAGATTAGAATTTAAATTTACTATAATTCAGCTCGAATCTAAGACATTGACAGTAATAAACAATACTAACAGTGGGATTAAACAATTTACCTATGCGCCCAAATGCTTTAAATTTAGATTGTTTAAAAATGAACTCATAGATTAATTATCTGATACAATACATATTATGATATAAAACATATTATGGTAATTTTAGTTATCTAATAATTGAGCCATGAAGAAGATTGACAGTCTCTCTCTCTTCCCTCTTTCCCTCCGTCTTTATGTGATAGTTCACATAGGGCCTATATATATATATATATATATATAAAGAGAGAGAGAGAGAGAGAGAGAGAGAGAGAGAGAGAGAGAGAGTTGAAGTAATACCTGAAGTTGGGACTCGAGGAAAGTGAGGATAGTGGTAGGAATGACCCCTTGAATGCCACCCCAAATCAATACTAAGAATGTGTGGGGTCCAGCCCCATATACAAACAATGGAATGGCTTGCGGCTGCAAGCCATTGTTTACTAATTGCAACATTTATAATTAATAAATGAGAAACAACTGTATGAATTTGAAAAAAGGCACACCCCGTGAAAGAGTTAGGTGTCTTGTTGATTTTTTGCAGGTGACGGATGAAGAAATGGCAGGCGACGTAAGCCATCTCCTGCCTATAAATAGGGGATGGCTTGGCATCCTTTATGCATACCAACGAGAGGAAGAAGAGAGTTAAAGAGAGAGAAAAATATTTTCTTGTATAGAGGATGAGTTTATTATAGTGATGGTGATACAAAAAGTGAGAATTCTTTTGTGAGTGGTATCTTGAGTTGGTAAAAATACTTGAGAGTCTTGTGTACATTTCTTCCTATAGTAGTGATATTTTTTCCCTCTTGTCCGTGATTTTTCCTGATTTGGGTTTTCCACGTAAATCTTGGTATCTATATTTTACCCCCGCCTAAATTTACTGTGAGTGTATTTTTTTTATCTGTAGATGTGCTAGCCCCAACAAGTACCATCAAAGCTCCGCGGGTCCTAGCAAGTGGAATCAGAGCTAATGTTAGTATTGTTCACATGCACGTGATACTATTTATACATATTAAAGTATTGTTCATACGTTTGAGATACTATTTATACATACGGTGGTACTGTTCATACGTACGTAGTACCGTTCATACATACGTGGTACTATTCATACGTACAATGGTACTGTTCACATATATGATACTGTACATAGGGGCACTATTCGTAGTAAATTTGTGAAAATATCAGGAGTAAAATATGTTGTGAAAAAATTTAATAGTGAAACTTGATTTTCCACATGGTTAAGAAGGAAAGGACAGCATTGTTGATACGGTTGGTTCCTTCTTGTGTCTGGGAGACCTTGAAGTCTTGATTGTCTTAACAATAGTTTATGGCTAACTACCTAGACAGGGGGCAGACTAGGGAAGATCCCTTGGATTCAGCCGACAAAACTTTGGTAGAGATGTTGTGGCTAGTGCAGATATGGCAAGAGGTTACTCCAATCTGCTGGATGGAGTTGCATGGATGAGTCAAGCGCATGAGGACAACCCATTTGGACCAATGGAGTGTGGACATGTAGAGAAGGGAAGGATAAGGGGAATCCAATTTCCCTTTAGACTTCCGTAAGTGGGGGAGTCTGAGAAGAGGTGGCTAAATAGATGACCCATGAGTTGGGTGGCCATTGGGATAAAAGGACCAAGGGTTCTGGTCCTGTTTCAAAAATAAGCAAACTGTTGTTTGGGTTAGGACAATTGCTTGGTAAAGAAGAGCTTGACTGGGCTGGGGGAGACCAGCAAAGGTCGCAGGAGTCCTTGAAGCTTCCGGAGCTGAAAAAGGAGGAGCAAACCCTCTAATCCTATGCATTGAGTTCGTAGGGGAGTTGGTCAAGTGTTTAGCCAAACCAGATGAGTCAGTTGGGTGGCAGATCAAAGAAAGACTTCGTGGAAGACAAAGTTGAGAGGCCGGGTGGCCAAGGCCCTAACTCTTGCACTGGGATAAAGAATTGCGGTAGAGGCCAGTTAGTAATAGGTAATAGGGCTTTGAATGCACAATAGAGCTGTTCGGACAAAGACTTGGTTTCCAAGGAAAGGAACCAAGCAGAAGTGATTTTCTTGCTACTTATCCAAGGAGTTAACCTTGATTTTAGAAGAAAGCCAGCAAAAGAAAGCAAAGATGCCATCGATTGGGGGAGCCTAGGAGTCAGGTAAACCTAAGGACCGAGCATAGGTTTTGCTCAGTGAGTTGCTAGTCGGGAGTAAGGTTGGAGACTGAATTACGGATGAGGTGAGAGACCCTTGGAAGCTCGTGAGGAGCAGCAGGCCAAAGGCAGTGTGCTAATGGCTGAGAAGGAGTCTGGGGTGATAGACAGTTTTCAGACTGGTGTGCCAACATTGGCCAAGGTATATTGGCCAAGGGGGATGTTAGGCACATGGTGACTAGGACTAGGGACGTTGGTTCTAGGATGGGCACGGCCCATGAGGCTGAGGAGCATGAGAAGTAACTACAGGGGGAACAACCCACCTTAACAAATGAGAGCAATTTCCTCCAAGTAGCATGGGTCTGGAGGGGGAGATTTATGGGGTCCATCCCCATGAAAGTTAAGTTTGAACCCCAAATTTTTTATGGCTTGCCGCTGCATCTCCTTGACAAAGGAAATAAACCAACAATTTGTGGGGTCCAGCCCCTTGACAAAAGAAACAAACCAACCCATGCATGCCTATGTGTGAAAGAATCCAAAGTCTTTCACACCTTCTTTCACACTTCGTGACTGCTTACAGCTGCACCCTTCTATGACAATTGAATGTAAAAGGAAGAAAAATTGAAGGAGAATACTGCACGTAAACGGCAAAAGGCAACCATCTCCTCCTATAAATAAAGGAGGAGATGGCCTCTTCTAAACACACAGAAAAAGAGAGAAAAGATGTGAGCTAGAGAGAGAGTCTCTCAAGCTTGAGAGAGAGGGAGAAAAATTCTCCTGTGTAGAGGGTGGGTTTACTATAGTGAGGGTGATGCAAAAGTGAGAATTCTTTTGTGAGTGGGTATCTCGTGTTGGTAAAAATACTCGAGAATCCTGTGTAAAAATTCATTCCTATAGTAGTAATATTTTTCTCCTCTTGGTCCGTGATTTTTTCCGATTTGAGTTTTTCACGTAAATCTTGATATCTATATTTTACTCCATCTTAAATTTATTATAAGTGTATTTTTATTCTATGGGTGTGTTGGCCCTAAGAAGTGGCATCAAAAGTATCACGGGCCTCAACAAGTGGTATTAGAGCACCGCAGATCCTAACAGAATGGTGATCAATTTACCGCAATCTGGGCGCAGAATGCGAGGATAAGACGGTGCTTTCTCCATTGAAGCAACAAAAAAGTGCTTTCTGTTTTCAACCATATTAAGGCAGTGTTTGCAACCGTTGGAAGTGCTTATACAATTTCTAAAGCACAAAAGCATTTATGAAGTATTTGGAATAGTTGTTTTTGATTTCTACCTGCTCAAATTAAGCAAAAAAAAGTAGAAATTTTGAAGTTAGGGGGTAGGATACTTCTGATTTCAATGATAAATTTGTAATTAAATAGAAGTTATTTTATAATTAATTTTACATTTTTAACTTCACATATTTTCTTAATTTTTACTTTGACCTCTCCAGATGACCCCCTCCCCCACCATTCAGATTCTCTCTCCAGCTCCTCCCAAACTCTCCTTGGATCGGCTATGGGCATTTCTCTCTCTCACGCAGAGATGGGGTAGGGGGACGTCCTTGCGTGCAGCGATGGGGAGCTCCATCACCACTGCGCACAATGGTGATTGATGGGGTCTATCGCCACTACGTGTGGCGATAGGGAAGGGCCCCATTGCCACTACGTGTAGTAATAGACAGCTCTGTCACCATTGCGCACGGCGACAAGGAGCTTTGTCATTGCTGTGTGTGGTGACGGAGGACTCTGTCACCGCACGCAATGATTGGCGAGGTGGCGGGCCGCCAAGAAGTGAGAGAGAGATGAGAGAAAAAAAAAAGAAAAATGGTAAATGATGAAAAAAATAAAATAAAAAAATTATATATTAGAGTAAAATAGTTTTTTTATTATGAAAGTTTTTTTAAAATTATTTCACAAAATTATCTTTCAAATACTGTTTTACTAATTTTAATCATTTTTTTATACATTTTGTAAACATTCCCTACTTTTGATTATAATTTATTTTTACCTACTACTGCTTAAAGCATCT